TGTCCTAAAGCAACCCTTTCACACAGCTCTAAGTGTTTGCTTTCTTAAAGTAATTTTCAGCTGCTTCAGGTCATGAATGGATCACAATTTGGAGTGAATTGTGTGTCTTTACCTGTAAGAAACTGGGGCAAGCAGACACACAACATTCCTCTATCTCAGAAACAAAACTTTATCAACTACTTTATACCCTAAGTTTGTGTTAAAGACACCAGTTCTCAAGCTAGCTTTTGCACCTACTAATATTAACTTAGAGTATCTTAAGACACTGTGCAAATAGAAACCTGTGACGTTTGAAATAGCGTGTCCTCATATTAGTAAAGGAAATAAATGCTTAGGTGATTCAATCTCCCACATAATTTCTGGAAAATCTTTTAAGTTAGGGTACTGCTGTATGAAGAAGCAGATTCTGCTGTCAGCTGCAGCAAGAAAATGAAATGTACTCTGTGGCATTTTAATTATCTCCAGAAAAAGTAAATCGGATTATTTTTAAGGGTCTTAAAAAAAAAAAAAAAAAAAAAAAAAAAAAGAGAGAAATAAAAGGTTTTCAAACAACCAGCGAAGAGCTGGATGACCCGTGTCTCCTCAGCCACACACAGCTCCTGAGGGTGTGAGCAGAGCGTGCTGACACAGGGCTCCTGGGTAATTTACGTCCCTCAGCTGCAAGCAGCAGCAGCAAGCAAAGAGGGACTGCTGCTAACGCTGGTGGATCGCCCAGAGCCAGAGCGTGTTGCACGCACAGAGGGCTGGCGTGCCCCAGGAGGGTTACATCCGTCTCCTCAAGGTGAACCCAATTCCTACCACGAACACACAACAGCCACCAGGCTTTTGCAGAGGTCACAGGGCCTGGGACATCGGTGAGGACCGCTGTAGAGCATCCCAGGGATTGTCTGTTCTGATAACGCGCAGACTTAATAAAGCAGTCTTAAAACAAGAACGCTGGCACAGGGCTTTGCAAAACATTTAGCTTCTAGATTTGGAAATCATACTTGTAATTTCACTTGTGAAACTTGTCTATTTCTGCTACGTGACAATTGTAGCAAAGAACAGCAAGGCACAATCAATGTTTCCTGTAAGAAAAGAGATTTGAATAGGAAAAAAAAAATGCAGTTCCAGGATACAAGATGAAGGGAACGGGAAAAGCCATTTTCAACTAGTAAAAGAGAATCTGAAAACCTCCAAACTCACAGATATCAGTGGATTTAAGAACTATGTTCTTTGTAGACCGCTACGAAATCCAACAGCACAAAAGAAGCCATTTCTCCTAAGGCAGGATGGTCTTGCTGCCAAAAAAATAAAGCTGACTGAAAAAAACGTTGTCAGGTAGTTTTTCAGGATGGTATTTTTCACGGCACTGTCAAGAACTAAGATGACATTTTAGAAATTAAATGCAAGTAAAAACATATACTGGGTTATTTCTTTTGCCACTCATTTAATAGTTCAGAGGGTTTCCCCTCATGCAATGCAATATTATTGTATCACCTTTTGCCTAATCCTCTGACAGGCTATTTTAAATTATCAACCCTTTGTTTTGCAACTTTGCTTCTTATCCTTTCATCCGCTAATTAGCTTTTCAGCCTTCAACGTTCTGCCTAGAGGGTCAAAATACGTTGACTGTGAGTTTTTACTTTACCCATTTATTTTGACCAGTCCCCTACAGCATACACCATGAATACTGCCTTACCATACCTCCCATTTCTCTCATCAAACAGTGTTCTCAAAAAACACGACAGCTAAACTGAGTAAGAGCTACTTTTAGACCTATGTCAGCCTTGTAGACATATATATTTGTAATTAAATACTGACAGTCTCAGATGAAACATCTTTCTTTTTGGATTTTTCATGGAACCATTGTGCTTTTTTCTAATCCACACGCATTAAATCAGGAAATAGACGGAAGATATCTGATTTCAGAAGCTGGCAAGGCCTAGAAACGCAATCCGTACTGCCTAGCTGAAACTGGAAAAGGTCATCTCCATAGCTCACTACATGGTAAACACGGAGAACATCCAAACTCCAACCACAATCCTTACACTGATGAAAACTTGAAAACCTCAGAACATTTCCCTACAACATGCAAACTGTAAGTGCAGAACACCCTCTCCTTCTTACCGCTACCTGAAGGACAAGGGAAAAATTATTCAATATACTTATTGCCTACTGCTCCACAGAGTAAAAGAAATGCCACTTTTTTTGTAGTAAATCATACTTTTTTTTCAGAGAAATAAGCAAGTAGAAACTTTCGCTATTTTTGTGCAAAGCAAAGAACTAATGAAGAGTAAAGCAAAGCAATCTGAGGAAGTGTAAGAGTTTTACTGTCCGCTGAAAGTGACAGGGAAGAGGAACCAGAATATCCCGATTACTATTACCCTGGTCAACTCACAAGCCGAAATACCAACTGGCAGCTCCTTGTCTGACAGTGACAGCTGGCTCAAGGACCAAACAGCGCCCCTATTTTTACTAGCAGACGGTAGCAGAAAGTTTACTTTGCGTTAACAAGAAATTAGGAGTGATTCTTCAGTCCCTATTCCACACACTATGAACTGAAAAAAAAAAAAACAAATTTAGCGTACATATTTTATCTGAAAAGGGAGAAAAGACAGTACACGTTAAGCTAAGGAAGATTATCAGCAAGAATCCAGAAATCTTGTTCAACCACATCTGGTTAAACAGTTAGAAGTATATGCTACTAATTGCTCCACATATCTGTGGTTAAGTTCTTACTAACAGAACACAAGACTGACATCTTCTTCCTATTCTTTCCCCAAGATAGACATAATACTTATAAAACGTTGCACTAAAACAAAACAAACAACAAAAAAACAACTCAAAGATAATTAAAAGCATTTCCAAAGATAATTCAGGCACATATGTTATACGCACCAAGGTGACAAAGTTCTTATGTTAAAGAAAGATCAAGGTAAATATTTCCTAGTATCAGGTATTTCCTCTTAGTAGAAGTATTGCAGAATTGGTAAATCTTTGGGGCAGACAGAATTTGTGAACCTAACACTAGCATTAGAGCAATTACTGAGGAACATCACTGCAAAGAAGCTGGAGAGTGTCCATTGATCGTTCCAATTGCAGAAGCTCGACAATATCTATGCATAAAAAGCCATTCCGAGGGAAATTAAGAAAGATAATGGCAATAAGTGACCAGGACAAGAGATTTTGCATCCAAGTATTCTGTAGAAAATGGCATATCAAGTAACTGAACCATTAGGTATTAATAACTATTAATAAACTTTTTCAAATCAATAACTAAGCTCCAAAGACTTCTTCTATGCTCTTCAGTTCATAAAGCTTAATTGTAAATCCAATCTCTTCTGTAAGCAGAAACACAGTTTTACTGAAAAAAAAAACCTCAAAAGCCAAGAGAAGAAAACCCATTTGAACTCAGTTTTTGGCTTTTTCTACAGCAGTACTCTAATTCATTCCATCCTTCTGGATGCAGCTATCTCTAGATATGATACATGTTATGCATTATTTCTACAAAACAACTTATTTCTATTTTCTACTACCTGTAAGAGAAGGCAAATCTGAGGCGCAATATAGTATTTTGCAACTGCAAAATTCTCCCCTGAAGCTCCCTCCTCTTCCAGTTATCCCGCAACATGAATCAGCTCTACACTCTACTAAGTTTTAATGACCAAACACTCATCACCAAGCAAAGCCATGACACGCATTCTAACTCGAGTGTTTTATTGGAATATTCAGTCACATAATTTCTGGCAGACGATGCTTTTTTGATTCACGCTTTAAAGATTCTTCTTTCCTAATATTTGAGCTAGTAAAACTTTTTTTTTTTTTTTTTTTTAAGATGAAGGCTCAGATTTTCAGCTTAATTTGCAGCCACACAAAAGCTGCAGTAACACATCAATTCATAAGTTCGTCTAACTAGGAGACGCTGGCATTTCTGTAAACTAGAGTCATGGTTTTTCCTAGTGCTTCCACACTATCGGAATGAAGGGAGTTCCTTTAGTAAGCAGCCTGATGACAACATTATAAGGAAACAAACTTTCAAGATCAAGTTGACATGAGAATCACACGTTAAAGTATTACCAATTAGCAATTCCGTACTAATTGCTTATATACGCATATTTTTACATGAGCACTATCAATATACAACTCCACATGCAATATAGCTAGCCCAGGTGACAGTACAAGGTACGATACCAACCTCACCTAGTTTCTACAGCGTAAGACCTGCTTGCACCTTGCTGCCACCAGAACTTCAGAGCAGAGAAGCTAACACACACTTGCTTCTGCACGGGGTCCCACGCTCACTTCTGCAGCCTCAGCTTTTCGTGAGGTGATTTATTTCTTCAGTGCAGAGTTGGCTAACTTTACCTGTAACTGCGTTAGCTGCGAGCAGGTGAAAAGTCACCTTAAAGCACTCCCGAGGTACATCTACACAGCAGCCCCAACGCTAATCATGGATCACGTACGGAAACCTTGACCTAACCGTTAAGTTCAAGACCTCAGATGCTGCAGCAGATCAGGACATGGACTTAACTTCTCAACAGCATGCATGCCCCAAGGAACCTGAGCCACGACAAGAGAGGCGAAATTGCTGAGCAACTCCGGTATAGGCGAGCTTTATACAAAGCTGGTTCAATTTGTGAAAGTATCTAAAGAGTCTGAAAATCAAAGCTGTTAGCCATACTACACTTGTACCAGAAAACTAAACTCTGATTCATCTGAATAGCAGTGTTACTGGGAACTAGTGAGTAAAACATACCTGTTAAATACGGAGCTATACAAACTGCAAAAGTCTACCTACTACTTCTCACTAAGATTCATGGGGTTTGCAGGGGATGAAACACTGAAACCTAACAAGTCGTGGTTAAAATAATAATAACGACAGAGCGTAAAGAAGAAAGTATGAAACGTAAGTTAACTGTAAAGGCGCCCTGCAGACTCTCTGGAGGGTTATCAAAACAAATACTCAGGTTAGTCTAACATGGAAGAAAAAACACAGGAAAAAACGAACCACCGCTTACAGCATTAGCCTTATCTACTCCAGCTAGGAAAACACTTCTCTGGAGCTGGGTGTTATCCCAGCAGCTCCGGCCACCTCCCGCAGCAGCAGCTACTCCTACACGCGTGCTCCCACAGCAGCTTTCTCCTCGCAGGACACCGAGCGGCGTTCCCCACAGGCGGCGACGCGTCCCCAGACACAAACATTGCCTTATTTTGCTACCCAAGTTGTTGTGTTTTTTTTTATTATTATCATTATTTTTCACCCTCCGTGCGCGTTCGGGACACACCTCTGCGCGCAGCCCCTCCTCCCACAGCCCCAGGAGCAGCATCACGTCCCGCACAGCCAGCGCCTCGCCCCACAGACCCTCACTCACCCCCCCCCAAATCCCCCCTCCGGCCCCAAGCAGCCCAGGAGGGGGGCGAGGAGAAGGAAAGGGGGGGTGGGAGGAGGCAACAGGGGGGGGAGTGGGGCACCGCTGACCGCGGCGGGGCGCAGCCGAGGCGCTTCTGCCCCGGGCCGGGCGCTGCGAAGCGATCGGGCGGCGCCGGAGCCGTGAGGGCAGCGCCCCCCCCCCCTCCCTGTCCCCCTCCCGCCTCCCTCTGAGGGGCCCTGAGGGGAGGAGGAGGAGGGAAGGGGGGGGGGGGGGGGGGGGGGGGGAAGGGGCGCGCGCGCCGTTGGCGCCAACGGCCCCTGACGGGCGGGAAGGGCCCTGAGGGGAGGGGGGGGGGGGGAGGGGGGGGCACTCACCGCTGAGGCGCGCGGGGCCTCGGGGGGGGGGAGGCGGCTCCGCCCGGGGAGCGCCGCCAAGCCGGGAGGTGGAGGTGAGGGGGGGGGGGGAGAGAAAAGAAAGAGGCGAGCGGGCCGCCCCCTCCCCCCCGCCAAGCCGGGAAATTTGGGAGAAAAAAAAAAAAAAAAAGGGAAAAAAAAAAAAAAAAAGGAAAAAAAACTTTGCTCGCCGCCGTCTCCCTCCCTCCCCCGAGGAGCACGAACCCAAACACACCGGGACACGCCCCCGCGCCGCCCCTCGCGCCGCCCATTGGACGGCGCCCCGCCGACCCCCGCGCTGATTGGTCGCCTCGCCCGCCCGTCTTCCCCCTCCGCTCCCCGTTCCGCAAGCGCACGCCGGCCATTGGGGAGAGCCCCGAGGAGCTCCCCGCCCATTAGCCGCGGCACACGTCCATCAAGAAGAACGCCCGCCTCCCGCCTCTTCTCATTGGCTACGCTCATCACTACCGCCTCTCTGATTGGCTGCCCTCGGTGCCCGTCACACATTGACATTGCGTGCTCCCGCCCCCTCCCGCACCCCGCCAGTCGGCCCCTTAAACGGGGCTCCCTCCCGCCCGCCCCTGCTTGCCCCGCCCACCCGCGCTACCGATTGGCTGGCGGCCTGCGCCCTCGCACGCCATTGGCCAGGGGAGGTGCCCATCACGCCGCAGAGGCGCGGAGGCCCGCCCACCGAGCTGCGGCCCGCGGCTGCGGTGCTGGGGCCGGCCCCAGCCATACGAGGCGGGGAGAGGCCGCGCCAGCCCGCCCCCTGCCCCCTGCCCTCGCCCACGGACGGAGGACGGGGCCGTGACGGGCACAGGCGGCAACGAGCGCGACCGCGGCAACGACGCCACACTGCGCCGGCCACCAACGACGTTTACTCTCTGCCCCGCCCCTCCCTGCGCGGGCACGCCCGACCGGCCGCAGCTATTGGACGGGGGAGGTGTCAATCGTGCGGCTCGCCACGCCATTGGTGGGCGGCCCACGCCCCCGCAGCCAACTGGCGCCCGCCCCCGCTGTCACCCGCCGGATGACACAGCAGCCGCGTGCCGGAGGGGGGCGGGGACACGGCCTGCCGCATGCTGATTGGCTGATCCAGCCGTCAATCCGCTCCCGGCCGCGTGAGGGTGCGCGGGCGGCGGGCGGGGCCCCCACGTGGCCCGGGCGGTCGCGCACGTGACGGGGCCGCGAGGCGTCGCCGGTGGCCGCTGGGGGGAGGGAGCGCGAGGCGCCCCCTCAGGGCGCAAAATGGCGGCGCCTCACGGGGCACAGAGACACGGGGCTGGAGGAGGCCGCACGGAGCATCCGCAGCTGCCCCCTGCCACCGGTGTCACCACAGAACCGTGTCCCCAAGCACCACGCCCAGCCTCCCGTTAAACACCCCCAGGGATGGTGACCCCAGCACCTCCCTGGGCAGCCCGTCCCAGTGCCTGGCTGCTCCTTCTGACAGAAATGTCTGCTCGTTTCCAGCCTGAACCCCCCCTGGTGCAATCTGAGGCCATTCCCTCTGGTCCTATCACTGGTTATCTGTGAGACGAGGCCGACCCCAGCTCCCCACAGCTTCCTTTCAGGTGGCTGTAGAGCAATGAGGTCTCCCCTGAGCCTCCTCATCCCCAGACCAACCACCCCCAGCTCCCTCAGCCGCTCCCCACAGGACTTGTGCTCCAGGCCCTGCACAGCCCTTACACAAAATTTCCCTGCACCAACATCCATGCCCCTCAGCACATCTCGGGCTCGTTCTCCATCAGTTCTGCAGCTGCTGTTATCTTGGTGGCTGTCACTGCCCGACCTCACCCAGGGCTGCGTGCCAGTGCGGTGTTTTCACGTGGCCCCCTCCAGATAATCCTGTTACACCCTGATCAACAGAGTACGGGGGCTGCCAAAAATACGGTTTTGATGCTGAACCGGCAGCTAAAGAGGTGGTAAGCCTGCCTTGTTACCGAACTGCTCTACAGATGCTGAGTGGAAAACAGCCTGAGCAGACCAGCTCCACGTGAACCCTGGCCACACAAGTCAGCAAACAGCAATTAATCTTTTGATGGCTTTCCCAGTCAGTAAGAGCAGTTGGTTTTTACATTGATAGATGAGGAAAAGAGACCCTTTAATACAAAGAAGTCTTTATACTGGCTTCTTCTATATGCTTGTAGTGTATTTATAGCTATGTACATATACGCAGTTGTTACTGCGGTGCTTTAAGGAATGCAAAAGCCACTATATAAATCAATATGAAATACTGGCATAAATTGGGGGTGCAGATCTTGTCTGTTCCCCAGTGTTTATTCACAGAGCAGGAACTGTCCGTATCTTCTGTTTCCACACCTATTTTTTTGGTGTGAGCAGTAGCCACTAATACACCGAGGCTACAGGTTGCAGGTGTTGGAGAGGAGGAGATGTCCAAGATACTGACCTTGTTTTTGCCATAACTGAAATAACGTTTTACTGTTTAGATTCCTTTTCCCGTTATAGGTGTTCTTTTGCAGTTGTTTTTTTTTTTTTTTTCTTTCATATGTTTTGCTCAGGGCTTTGTAGCATGCACAGCGGGACGTGGAAAGCAAGGTGAAGTGACGTGATTTATTTTGCACAAACCTAGGGAACCAGAAACTTTCATTTCAGTGGAGGAAAAGGTACCACATTGCATTGACCCTGTAGAACAAATTGAAGAATGAAGTTGAACTGTAGAAAGCAAGCAGATTTTTTTGGTTTGTCTAAAATGATAATGGTTGACTCAGAAAATCTCACCTAGTCTCGCCTGTAGATTTAGGGGAATCGCAGCTCCTGGGCTAGGTTTTGTCTGTCGTAAAGTCCTAACACATATCAACAAAACAGTTCTTGCTATTTTTTTCACATTTACCCAATCACCACACTTACCCCAAAAATGGGACCGAGTTGGCTAATGAAACTGCATTTTTCCATCCACTGGATGTCAGTATTACACTACCGCTGTGGTGCATTGCCAGGTGCTGGGGAAGCTTGGGCTGCTTCGGGGTGAGGACTTCTGGAAGAGCTTTCCTCTGTGGGGGTGAGTGATGTGAACGACCAAAGCACAGAGGAATGTGCTCACTGCAGTACGTGGACACGCTCCCTTTGGCTTCTGCAGAAGCAGGCTGGGACCCTGCGTGCAACCCTCATAAGGTGTAAAACCTCATAGCGAGCGTGCCCCGAGGGAGATGTGGGGTCAATTCCACAACATTTTGATTATTACAACATCTCCTCCTTGTGCCATGAAAAGGCCTTTTTTTTTTTTTTTATAATTAAATTTACTTGTGATATCAGAGACAAATAATACTGCATCTGACAGAGATCCAGTACGGGAACAGGGATTCTACAAACAAACAAGGGCAAGAGTGCTGCCTGCTTGGGACAATTCTGAGTGCACGAAAGGGGACAAAACACTAAAAGTAACCATGATATTTTTTCCCCCCATATCTGTCACTGATTTATTATTTCCAACCTCTTTTTTTATAGAATTGCTATTTTTTTTTTTTAACTACCGCACCTGAAGGAACTCTGGATAGTCAGTCTCTAAAAGCTATTGCTACTGAAAAATACTCTTTGCTAACCCTTTTTCTTTTTCTGCTTCTGGTCTTTTAAGCAGCAGGTATTTAGTGGGCACAGAAAGTATCTGTTCAGTTACCTGTGTTGCGAGTAGAGGCAGGTTACCTTTAGGGAAGCCACAGTAAAGCTTATGCTGCTGCTCTTTATTGTATGTTACGTTTAAGTGTTTTTGAATGAAATGCAGCATTTACCATGTGATATAATGCTGTGCTTTAGCTGTGACTCAAATGCAGCCAGCACTGGAGAAGAAGATGGCTGTTGTTAAAAAGATGATTCGTGAGAAAGTAATAAAAGAATTTATGTTCTCTTGTTATATATGAAGACAGGCTGATTAGGTTATTCTCTTGCTTATTTCTTTCCCTTGGAAGCTGCATTTTTCTCTATCCTTTTCCTAGAAGACTTTAGTGAAGATTCAGCAGGCATATGACATCAGAGTACCAAAGGAATAAAACAAATATTTGGAAACATTTGGATGCTGTTTAAAATACCGATTATCCTTATTTGAAGGTATTTATCCTAATAATTACTTTCAGAAAAGATACTTGCTAAGGATTCAGCATTTCCTTTTACTTCAGCTGGATGGCAAGAGTATTTCTCAACCATTCTTGTGCATCCTTCACATAGATTTTCAGGGAGCCAGCAAGACAGGGAGGAAGTAAGACTTCATATGCCTGGAAGCTATAAAAATGGGGATAGGAAAAAAGGATTTGTATTTAAAATAGAGAAGATTTCAACCCAATTATTTTTTTTTTTCCTTTCTAGGTCAGCTATAAAAGCAAAGAACAAACATAAAGGAGCAATGTAAGGAAAAAGAGAAGTAATGAATACTAGAATTAAATGAAATAGTAGGAGGAAATTAAGGAGATAACGTCAAATATAATTTTCAAATTTGTACATGGGTCAGGTGATTAACACTAACATTCCTGTTTTGCAAAAATAGTTTAAAAACATATCTTTAATGACTGCTAGCATTCAAGATCTGAGCTTCAAGTCGCAGTCAGACATGTCTACGTCTGTAACTGCTCCCAGCATAATAAGCTTATTTTGACATGACTTATTTTTACATGCCATACCCACGAAAGAAACGCAGTTGCAATAGGAACGAGCAGTTTATGTATGTCTTGGGCAAAACGCTTAGCAGAAGTTTTGACTTGTGCTGTTGTGCTCACATAACACTGTTGGAAGGAAAAAGGGAAAAGAGAAGGTTGTCAGCCCACAGCTGAAGGGAAAATGTTACCAGTATGATGGCAGTTGTTCTTAAATGGAGAACAATTTATAATAGTATTTTGTTTCATTTTTTCCTGGAGGCAAAATTAAAACAATGCTTCGTTAACATTATTTGAAGCTATTTTAAATATTGCAATTTTTGGCAAAACAATGTTAACATGTGGGATTTTTTTAATGGAAAAAAAGGCAATTAGGAAAATGTTTTGAATGATATTGTATTATTTTACCCTCCCCCCCCCCTTTTTTTTTTTACCCACATTTTTACTGTGTTGGCAGAAGAAGATGCCTGCTTTGTGCTTTCAGTGCTGAAAACAAATCAGTGTGCATATATGAATTATTGGCCAGGACTGGAGCAGTTATGCTGAGGCTAGAGGTCAAGCAGCAATTCAGGTGAGGTTTTATTTACCTTTTAACCTCCCCATTCAACCAGCTTGGTCAAAGGCACGATACTCAACACCAGCAGAAGCCTGCACAAAACAGTTTAGAGTCACCTTTCATTGAACCTAAATAAAAACTAAAGCATAGGTATGTAAAAGCAATTACAGGATTTTATTGTCTCAGCTCCACCTTCATCATGAGGACAGCGTTAGAGTTTTACATCGAGACACAGGGTAACTGCTGCGGGCACTCTCTCCTTCCATTTGCCAAGGTTGAAGCGTACACTGGAGTTTTCATTGCTCCCAGGGTAGCCACACGTTCATGCACGATGGTCATTTACGTACAAATATATGTCACCCAGCCCCATCACAACAGCAGAATCGGGCTTGGAAGAAGGAAAAGGGCTGGGGCACAAACCTGCCAGCTCCTTCCCTGTTGCACAAGGACTGCGGGGACGTGTGTACCCATGCAGGAAGGGAATAAGGAGTCTGTACGGATCTGGTAACACCACACGTGTAGGACCAGTACTGATGCTGGGGAAAGCTCCTATCTATCTTTTGATTTCAAGCTCTTATTAGGACAGCAGGAACATGTGGTTGTTTTTTGTTTGTTTTTATTCTTTTTTAATTATTATTTTTTGCTGGAAGTTTTGGCTGTATAGTAATTGAAGACTGTGGCTTTCTAAGGCTTTGCTGTGGTTCTAATTAACTGGGTACGCTGTTTAATTTTTTATTTCAACTCAAGCTTTTCCCCTCATATTCAAAAGGGCTCCCTTTGTGCTTTATTACTGACGAGATCAAAGCAAAATGAATGGCTGCCATTTCTCCTTACTCTGGGGAAGTGAGGCTGTCCGTAGCAAAAAGGCACGCCGCTGTCCGCACTTGTCAGCGGGACTGAAAGCAGTCCCACGGGCAAAGCTGCTGCCCTTCTTTGGTCTGGTGAGCTGGACACAGGCAGCGAGCAGGAATAATGCTCTGCGAGGGGAACACGTGAGAAAACCAGGAGTGGGGTCTGGCAGACGGGATGAAGAGGGACTGGAGGATGGAGATGGGAGTGGGCAGACTGAAGGGCAGAAAATCCGGGCTGGGGGGGAAATCCAGTTTCCTTTTCTGGTATGGAAAGTCCCAGGCAGCCCAAGAAAAAAAAAAAAAAAAAAAAAAGAAGAAAAAAAATAACAAACACAAGCACAACAGTTGCCATCAGTCTGATCAGGGAGTTAGAGCTATGGTTTGACTGTTTAAACTCTCCACACTTTGGGTGGTGGCTCTATTATTCCCCCTTCACAGGCTTCCTTTCCTCCCCAGTGTTTCCAAAATTGGTGTTTGATGGGGAAAGCACAACACTTCCATTTTTATGTAAAAACCAACCAACCTGAGTGTGTAACAGGGCCGCTAACTGCCACTTGCAAAGAGGCCAGAGTCAATTACGGCAGAACCTGAGGACAAAGTGAAAATAATTCAGGAAGGGAGCACCGTAAGAAAGAAAGCTGGAGCAGGAAAACAGCTGAAAGACAGTAGAAAAGTGGGATCAATAATAATAAAGTTTACCGAAGATCTCAGTGCAAGGAAGGAGGAGAACGATGGTGGTGAGAAAAACGTGGGGAAGATGTGTGCCAAGGAGTGGGAAGCTACATGGGAGGTTTCTTGGATCCAGGGCTGCACGCAGAGGGGTGTAATTTGTCCCTCGCACGCAGGTGCACGTGTGCACACAAGCACACAAAGCCTTATTCCTTGGCTCTCATCAGCCAGAGCCTCCTCCTCGCCCTTGCATCACCCCCGGTCAGCTGCAGGGAGTCCCCAGCAGAGCTCCTGCAGAGCGGGGCTGGACGGTGACAATGGGATGAGAGTAGCAGCAGGAAGGGCTGCGAGGGAAGATGGAGCAGCAGCAGCCGTTCCCATGACTTCGCCTCCAGCAGTTGCTGGAACAAAGAGCCGTGAAGCTGGGTGGGCCAAGCTGTTCCTTCTTTGCTGCTTGAATCTGAATGCTTGCAAACCCCATGACTCACTCGCTGTCCCAGCTCATCTTCTGCAAGGGTTGGCAGTGAAGTCAAACCCAGGTTCGCGAGCAGAGCTTTCTGTGTCACCTTCCCAAGGAAAACCTGCCAGCAGCTTCCCCGTGGCTGATCTGCTGCTGGGAGCCCAGGGTGGGGCTGTGTGGGCAAAGCCCTCAGGCCAGCTCCTGGGAGCAATTATAAGACCTCTTGGTAGCAGAGAAGATCTCTTCGGAGCCACCGACTAATCTCACACAGGCAGAAAGGGAGGAAGACTCATGTGCTCAGGGCACAAGAAGCATTTGAGCTACTACCTTTTGCAGGGGGAAGGTAGCGTGGTCAGGATTGTAGTGGATTTCATCGCGTACAGACAGCCCTTCTCAAAACATCAGATTCTTTCTCCCTCACTTGGAAAAAAGCAAGCAAAGACCCCAGAGCTTTCCTGCTAACCCTGCACTAAAGCTACTCCCAGATAGCTAGGAGAAAGTCAACAGTACGATGGGGTTTTCTTTTCCCCCCCTGAAAGAAGAGTGAGGTGTTCTTCCATTATTGTTGCTCTGGATTCAAGGGCCTTGCCAAAGGAAATGTGTTCCCTCTGAAGAGCATCAGCAGCTCAGCTCTAGTCTGTTTGCTTCCACTGCTCGGATCGCACGGGCTTGCTTATCGTCACTCAGACCCTTACAGAGTCCAAACCAGCCCTGGCAGCTCTTCTATCTCAAGGTCCTGCTTCCACCGGCTAACCAGAGCACAAAGAGCAAGAAAATACATGTTTAAGCTACTTTTTCAAGACATTTCAGACCAGGGCTGTGTTTATCAAGAGAGCCCAGCTCCTCCAGAGGTCCTCCTATAGCTTCTGCAGCAAGATTCAGTGCAAAGATGCTGCAGCGACTGCGAGGGTTTCCTCATGTTCCTAACACAGGGCAAATTCCCCCTTCCTTACACCGAGCGCTGCTTACACCGAAGGCTTTGAAACAAGATGGAGCCTGCCTGAAACAACGCCCTCCTTTTGGCTGCAGGGTACAGCATCTGGAGCTGGCGCCTCTGCTCGTCTGCCTCTGCCTTTGTTCTCGTGAGCCTGTCTCCCTGGATGCAAAGAGGAAGCTGTTGGTCACACTGCGCTGTCAGGAGCTCCAGCGTAAATCCAGCACAACCCCACTGGGCGAAGTAAAATTAGCCTGGATTTGCAAAGTACAACTTCGGCTCCCTAGCTGAATTTAACGTGCTTAAAAAGTGGTTTGGAAATTGGTGAGAAACCAGGAGAGACCGCTCCAACTTTTCCTTCCAGAAAAGTTTTGATTTATTGAAATGCTGTAGTCATAAATACAGAACAAAGGAAGTGAATATATTACAGTGTCCTCATTGTGAAAGGGCAACGGCAGAGGCTTTGATAAACCAGCAGGCAGGTCATTATTTCAGCGCGCTGCCTGTCAGGACTTTTACCTATCGTACCTCTCCAAAAAGTTATTTTAAAAAAAAAAAAAAAGAAAGAAAAAAAAAAGAAACAACTTCCTTCCTCTGAGATTTATTAGGCTGTGAAGGAGAACCTCAAACAAGTGGTAGAATAATTTACCAAGGAAAGGTATGCTGGTGAGCTGCTCATTGTGCGGGGGCAATGGCCCAGACGACCGTAATGGCCTTTTCCATTTCTAATGCCTATGATTACCACAGCTCTACCTCAGGATACTAAACAGAGCCATTTTCTTCCTTTCAGTGGCAGCAAAATGTCACTAATGGCCATGCTAAATCAGAGCAACTGATCCTTCTGCAGATGTGTTGTGCACTTAGCGAGACAGCTATAAATGATTCCACTTTGTTTAGATTTGCTATTTTCCGTTTCTGTAGTGCAAGTGCTCTGCACAAGAGGACTGCCAGCCCAGGGAAAGAAGTTCTGGTAGGAGATTAAGGATAACTAAGGAAATGGTTGCATGACCTATAAAGAGAGGATCATAAATATTGCAACAATAAAACCAATAGCTCTTTCAAAGTTTAAATAGCTTTTCTTTTCAAACACTTGAAGTAAATGCCCTTTTCCCAAGGTTGTCTAGCATCTGCACCTTGGGATTTCACACGGTTTCACCAAATATATTGTAATTTCTCAGGGAGCTAGCTTTTCCTTTTAATTATTTTTCTTTGTACAAGCGTCCTCTCCAGAGAAGTTGGAGCCCGGCTACCTGGAAGCACCTTACTGCTTTCTTTACTGCTGAAGTTTCAGAGAAGCCAGAGCATAATAAGATGAAACATCCCCTGCATTTCTTAGGCACAACACCCACCAAACAATGCAAGAAGAGGCAAGTACAAGTATGGTTCTGCCCTTTATCACCAAGCAGCAGCGCTTACGCTTTTTCTTACGTCCTAGGAGAAACCTCAGAAACAAGGGTCTGCCCACGTAAATACTCGAACTAAAAAAAATAAAATGTATTCTTCACAGTCCCAACTGTGCAAAACCCCAGACCTGGGCTGCTGCCGCTCCGCAGATAAAGACAACCGACATTCCTATCCCACGCGCCCTGTTGGCATGGCCTTTGTTTTCCCCTTGTGGTGTAGGATCCAGCTCTGAAGCAAACAATCTGCTCTTGAGGGCAGTTTTTTCTCCATACTCCATCCTACCCTTAGTCTGTAGCCAGCGGAGGGGAAGCACAGAGTGATGTGTTCCACAAGGACGCACACCTTGCAGGAGGTTCACCCCATAATCTCTTGTTCATTTAACTGTGATGTTTAGACCTTGGTTTGGGAGCACTCCTTTGGCACGATGCCTTCCACAGGACAGAGGGCAGAGAGCCTGGATGTTGGTGCTCCATCCTGAGCGTTGGTCTGACTGCAGAAAGTAACATCCTTTCTGGGACAGCCACTCCAGTTCGGCAGTCAGATAACCAGTGTTCATTCAGCCCATAGCAGGCATGTGCCAAAACCACCCCAAAACCCATACAAAATGTTACTTAGTCCACGCCCTACAAGTGCAATATAGTTCTCTCACTTGCACAATTGGAATAAAGCTCACTATTCAGTAGAAGCTTTTTACTTTAAATAAACTAAAAATGCAAAAGGCCCCAGAATACTTTGTCTCTGTGAGTATTGACCTTATCCTTGACCTGATGTCCCTGATCCTTCCCCATGCTACTTTATGCATTTGCTTAAAAATCAGCTCTCATTTTTATGTTCTAGGCTTCAGGCCCACTACAATGGCGACATTCCTCACTATTCAAACATTTTAGTTTGCTTCCGTGCTCCACCAGCTTTCCTGCACAAATTCTCTTGTTTGTGTTTTCCTGGTTATGTGCAATTTCACACATCCACTGTCCATAAAATCATGTCTTTCAGCATCTAGAAGTTGCCTGTTTCTGTCTCGGGTAGAAAGCAGCAGAAGGGCTTTTTTATGCTTACAGTTCTCCTACAAGGTGACACATCTAATATTTTAGAAAAAGAAAACAAAACCTGACAAGTCGGATGAAAAGGCAGGAGCTGATATCGCAACCAGGCAGACAGAAAAGGGAGAGAGAACCAGGATTAGAAGCATCTCCAAAACCTGAGACATTGGCAAATCATGTAATAAATTTAGGAAACAACAGCAACTCTGCCCTACGTTCCTGTGCAGATGCTTCTCAGCCACTCTCCCTTACTTCCCTACCTCGCTGGAAAAGCACAGCAGATTTGCCCACATCATGAACGAGACTGGGGTAGCTGAAATGCTGCATATTACACCGTGGGTTTCTGCACCCTCACTCCCCAAGTACACGCGCCCAGACTTGCAGCAAAGATCAGAAATAGGTGTTGTGAGAAGAGGTTGGTAAACATCTCCCAGGCTTGCTACATGTAAAGAGGTCTTACAGTTTCATCTACATCCATAGGTTTCTCTTCCAAGAGGGTTCCTTCTTTCAGCAGGCTGAGGACAGGGGATGTAAGGTCTAGGGACACAAAGAGGTCGTTTATTCCTTATTATATTATTATTAGAGCTGTACCCTGATTTTCAAAGAGCATAGACAAAACTGTCAAAAGATGAGGGAAGTGTAATAGCAAAATAGCAGCGAAGCACGGAGAAGAACACATTTATCTTGCTTTCTCGGAGAACCTCCCTAAAATAAGCACAGAGAAAGAAAAGGCACAAAGTGATGGCAGTGCTAATGCTCTAAAGAAAGACGATCAGATTCCACGGAGCCCTGACATAGCCTGTGAAATGAGCGTGGCTTAGACAGGCTCCTCTTAAACAGTAAGAAAGCAATTGCTATGTGGGCTTTAAACACGGAAAGAAAGGCAAAGATTATGTTTACTGCAAATACATTTTCATGTACCTTAATGCCCCAAAGTAAAATAGAGACTGGATTTATTCTGCAACATGGTCAGGAATTTTAAAAAAGGCTTTTGTATACACAAAGAGAGCACGGGAAGCAAGCTGGGGAGTTACTTAAATGTCAAGGATTGCACTGTACCAGGTAGAACCGAAATGTAGCAGAGGGACTCAGTTTCATAAATGAAATGTCATTACTGATGGGTACAAATTATATAGGAAAGATGGCGAGGGAAACAGAGATGGCACTTTGTCACATGCATTTACAGCTGCAGCAAGGCGCAGTTCAGCTGCTGAGAGAGTGGTAGTGAAAAATAAAACCAAAGAGAAACTGAAAAGGACATCTGCTGTAGCCTGCTTCAATGAATCTGAGTTTCTCTCAAGGTGCTCAGCGCCACAGGACGCTTGGGGGGGGGGGGATTTAGCTACCCACACATCTGTTAACAAGCACAGCCAAACAGACCAAAGATGCTCATGTGTTACACAAAACCTGCTCTAATCCAGACAGTACAGGTTCTTGACAAATAATCAGAAAAATCCTGACAATCCAGGAGCTGCCGTTGAGAAGTTGAAAGCGACACCAATGAACAAACTACCTGAACATAACATAGCAAAGAGTTTATTTGTTTGACTTAGAAAAGGTCTCTGGCATAAATCACTGGACACATGTACATTAAATATATAATTGCATACTAAGAGGAACCTAGAAGGCACACATTCAGCCAAGAAGCTCTTTCAGAACCATTCCCCATTTCATGTCAGAAAGAGCGAGTTGTGAGCCCCAGCTTGATTACTCTTTTTTCAAAACCCAAGAACTGGCCAGCACAGGTCCCGTGTTACGCCACACAGATCAGCAAATCTGGGCTGACATGCCCACGAGTAAAAATTGTCCAGGCTCAGGAAACAGACTCCAAAGAGAACTAATCTTGGTCTCCAAAATAGCAACAATTATCTCCCGTCTTTCCCACCTCCTTGGAAGGTTACTGACTTGGTTACATTAGTCCCAAGGGAGGGCTTCTTGGAAGAGACGAAATAATAGCTTATTTGTGCCTGCTATAGGTGCTGCTGTACCTTCAGCCTCCATTAGCAGACTTCCAATAAAATTCATAACCACTGCTCCTTGCCTGCCCGTCCCCCAGCTCCATCACCCACGTTTTATTTGGAGAGTGATAGAGATTCATTTTACAGGTCGCAGCCTCAGGATTCTGGCACTCATAAAGAACCACAATTAGCAAAACTAGCCAAAATAAATGCAGTCACCTCACCCGGACTCAGAGCTGTTGCCATAGGAGCAGCCAGATGGTCCAAGTTCAGCTGATCTTATCTGCAGGGAAGAACAAGTTCCACCAGAGTCTGAAACATCCACTCTGGAGCAGCAAGGTTGCACGCATCCCCAAAGAGTAATGCTGAGTTTAAGAAGCTGATTCACATCATGCAAGAAAGCAAGTTTGCTCTCTTAAATTAAGTAAATTAACAATGCGTAATAAGCCTAAGGAATTCTACTAGGCTCTGGAGTCAAGGCATGAGATTTGACTTCTGTGACTTCCAAATTAAAAAAAAAAAAAGGGAAGGGAATTAAAAACAACTAATGAACGCTACCTTTTAGAAACTGGTGTGGCTACAATACAGAAGGTAAACTGATGAGAGACTCTCACTGGAAAGGAGATCCTGCTAGTTGACAAGGTTAAAGAAAAGCGCTTTCACATCTGTCAT